GCATGTGTTGTTATGTGGACATGTTAAATAAAAACTTCCACACTTTCAGTTAGGGGTGGACTCGGGCCGGTTTGGACCCGGTTCAGGCCTCGGTTCATGAAAGGGGAGGCCCGGAACCGGCCCGGGTAACCCCCGGGTCTGGGCCGGGCCGGGCCTCGGTTCTACTTAATTTTTTTGGCTTTTCCTAATTAACCCCCTCCTCCCTCACCCCCAATTCCCAAACCACCTCAAATGACCCAAAATACCCAACCCAAAAACTTAAAAAAAAAAATCAAAAAATTCAAAAAAAAGGCCCGGACCGGCCGGGCCGGTTCACCTTTTCAAGGGCCCGAGCCTGGCCCGGAACCCCAGCGGGTTGGGCATACCCGGACCGGTCCCTGGCCGGGCCGGCGGTTCGGGCCAGTTCAAATAGAGACCGGGCCGCCCGGCCCGAGTCCACCCCTACTTCCAGTACTACCTTATTGATTAGTTCAAATTTCAAACGGCATTGAAAATTTGAGATTATATGTTACAAGAAATTCCTATGTAGTACGCTTTCAGTTGCTCCGTATTTCAATGGGTGTGCATGACCATTTTAAAACCCTGCATAATAAACAACTGTGACAATAGAGCCTTATAGGCATGCCGCATGCGCATGCCGCATGTCTATCTGCCTTTAATATCCCCCCGAACTCCATATATAATGTTTTTGTTTTCTGATGAAAAACCAAAAAATAATAACATCGTTAAGTCATGTATTAACTGGCAGTTCGTTGATTTCCAAAATTATTGCAAAGCAGTGATGAAGCTGAACATATATCAATTATCAAGCAGGGGAAGAGGTGTAGACTCTGTATCTTAAGATGATTTTACTTGGACTGTTTTGAGTCTCAAATCATATCAGACTAGATTAGATTTCGGCAGTTGTAAAATACACAAAGACCAGACATTTATCAGATCAATTCAGATCAATTAGATTAGACCAGACCAGAAAATTTCAGCCTAAGTAAAAACATCCTAACTGGTCATCTGTTCACAAATACTATTTTTTGATCTGGAAGTAGGCATGGACCCGGGCCCAGCCGGGCCTCGGTTCAGGAAAGCGGAGACCCGGAACCGGCCCGGGTAACCCCGGGTCCGGGCCGGGCCGGGCCTCAGTTCATTTTTTTGGGGAGAAGATACAAATATACTCTTGCACTATGGGTGGGAGAACAATTATACACCTATTCTATTTTTTGGAACAAATATACCCCCGAAGTATATGTTGAAGTGCATATATACTCCTGAACTTTTAAAAAGTGCAAAAATACCCCTCATGTTCTTATAAAGACGCAAATTTACCCTTATTGACTTTAAATAGATAAAATAAATTTCAAAAAACACCAAAAATAAAATATAAATTCGAAATTTTAAAAAATGATTTATTATTATTAAAATATTACTCGTAATTCTTTAATTTTAAATTTCAAAATTTTTAATTTTCCGTTGTAAATGAAGCTAAATCATTAATACTAGTATTGCTTTTAGTCTTGTTATGAAATTTTGAACACATTGTTATATTTTTTTAAATAACATTCTTTGATTTTGTTTAAACTTAATAAAATTAAATTCACTATTTTGTAATCTTGAACTATTTATCATTATACAAAATATGTAATTTTATAGTGCAACGAATGCAAAAAAAATTATTTTTTTTTGTATTGGAACACATAAGTTAACACTTTTTTCGAAAAAATCTTAAATATATAGTAATCTTTTGAAATAACATTTTATAATAACAATATTTAAATGTGATTTACAAACAATAAAAGGGAGAATTGGACACAAGTACATTTTTAAAATTTTTATTTTTCAATTTTGAATTTATAATTTATGTTTGGTGTTTTTTGAAGTCAATAAGGGTATAATTGCTCCTTTATAAGAATATGAGGGGTATATTTGTACCTTTAAAAAAGTTCAAGTGTATATATGCATTTTCACAAATACTTCAGGGGTATATTTGTTCCGAAAAATAGAACAGGGGTATATTTGTTCTCACACCCATACTACAGGGGTATATTTGTACCTTTTCCCTTTTCTTTTTTTTGCCTTTTCCTAATTAACCCGTAACCACCCTCCCTCACCCCCAAACCATCTCAAATGACCCAAAATATCCAGTCCAACCCAAAAACTTAAAAACATCCAAAAAAAGAAAAGAAAAATAAATAAAATGGCCCGGACTGGGCCCGAATCGGCCGGGTCGGTTCACGTTTTGAGGGGCCCGAGCCCAGACCAGAACCCCAGCGGGTCGGGCCTACCCGAACCGGTTACTGGTCGGGCCACCGGGCCGGTTCCGGGTCGGGTCACCCGTCTCGAGTCCAACCCTATCTGGAAGTAGATAGGGACATAGTCAGGATCGAAGGTTGAGTGGATCAGCACAAAGAATTCTTTCATATAAATGTTACACATAAATTTTCGCACTGAAAATACAAAGAGTTTTCAAATTTGGAGTGAGCTGAGGCCGTTGGCTCTACCTTCGCCCCTAGACATAGATTGTAATTAAAGCTGGTAATGATTTGTCAAAAAGTAGTAGGGTGGTTATGGTCCCCGGGTCGGGATTATGGTTATTCTAGTTCCAAACTTGGTTAGTAATAACAATTTTGGGTGGTACGTGTTAAATCTTTTCTTTAATGTTGTTTTATTTAAATTGAGATTGGGATGATTTGGGAATGTTACAGGGTCCAAACTCCAAACTAACAAAAATTAATTTTACAAAAAGGTCTACTAAATTTTTTACAGTACATGTGCACAAAAAATTTAACACCTCTACAATGAATAAAAGTTAATAACAAGCTTTCTATTAAAAAAATCTATTAAATGTTAACAAAATTTAGCAAAAAACACACTACTCTAACAAAAAATCTGTAAAATTAAAAGGAAGAAATAAAGTAATTTATTAAAAAACAATTTGACTTAGGTTTAAGAAACTCATACAAATAAACAGGGTGCTAGAGAAATATGGCTTATTCATAGGGTTGAAGTAGTTTTTGGGGTGAAAAAGCTGAAATATGGCTTATTCACCCATGGTTGTGGATTTGTGGTTAGTCTAAAGATTTCGAATTTTGTACAGAACGAACAATATCACGTGATATTTCGGCATATTTCAAAGCGTGATAACAATATTCGATATGACATATGCAATTCAGTATTCACGTAACTATAATAGTCTACCATAACTAAAAGCTGCATGCAACACTGCAGGGAAAATCCTTTGGTGCTTGTTGTAAATAACATACACTGAAGTGTGTAGCACGTGGACCAGTTTTCTCTTTCCACTTGGACTCATTAAACTGCACCACCTTTCCTCTTAAGTGGGAGTATTTGCATTCAAGCCCATACCCCCTTTGGCAAATACAAATATTTATACTCCATGTACTGACACATATTTCGATAAGTATACAACATAAGTCCACACTCCGTTTTTACCCTCACACGACTCGTATTCCGCATAAGTATACACCAGATCAACATTTGAATATCATCAGGCGCCCCATCAGGCCCGTCTTTCTTTTTCTGTAATCCTCCAACATCCTTAACAACGACTTTCATGGATTTTCAAAAGATTGTTGATTTTATAGATTTTAATGGTATTCAATATATTCAACAAGATTTTGAGTTACTTTTATCCAATGTCGGCTCACTTGTAGAAAATAGAAAATTTCCAAAGGAGAAGTGGAGAACATGATGCGCAAGATCGAATAAAGAAGAAGTTGCAATGAGTAGGTTATTTGATGGAGATGATTTTGAAATCCGAGGGGGTGGATGAGATTTTCTATGGAATGTTTTAAGCTTATCATTCCATTCAAATCCATGAAAATCACTCCAATAAAAAATTGGAGACTGGAATCTTTGAAGACACACGTATTTCAAAGGATTCTATTACAATCAAAATTGAGAACACCCCTATTCTAATGGAATTCTAAATTCCATAAGAATCCTTTCAAATCCATATTGTGGACACCCCCTTAAATCTAACCCGTGAAAGAAAGAGGAGACGTTAATTTGCATGTAAGTGATAAGTATAAGACTCTATAAGTGAAGATGAAAGTGTGAACACCCAAGTAAAAGCAATGAATGTCAAACTTGAGAACAACCACTATTATTTCTTTTCTTCAGATGTTTTCATCACAACTACATTCTCATGTTACAATTCCGATTAACAGCCCTTGTATGAGCACCCTTCTATCCCTTCGTCATGTTCTTGAGGTTTGGTTTATGTTTTGGCCCTTTGAGACTTACATTTGGCTGTTTTGGACTTATTTCCCCTTTTTTCTCAACATAACAGGAAAAACGTTTATGTAACATGATCCTGAACTAATACTCCATCCGTCTCAAATTGAGTTGCAAATTTAACTTTTTTGGGTCAAACAATCTCATTTTGTTCACTTAATTAGGATATTAATTCTTAATTAAATTTTAATTTGGATTTTTCAACTTTATAGAGATTTTAATGTAGATTTTGAATATGTAAATTTTAATTATTAAAATTGAATTATTTATCAATAGGGGGGATTTAAATTTTAACTTTGATTGACAAAAAAAAAATTGACTTTGCAAAACAAATTGAGACACAGATAGTACATAGTAGTTCTCCAAAAATCTGAAAATGAGTGATAATTTTGATTCAAAGTTTTCATAAACAAATCCAAATGTAAAGGTTAAGATCTCATTGTATGTTTATCTCTTTTAGATATTTTTTATAGGAAGTAAATAAATATGTTTGGTGAATATATTGACGGGGCTAGATTTAATAAAAAATGTTACCCCGTCAATCAAGTTTTACCATAAAATCTATCATCGTTAGTAAATTCAGTAAATATTTATTTTTATTTTACTTCAGATGAAAATCATATATAAATGATTTAAAACATAACGTGAAGATCTTAAGTTTAGCACTTTGATGAAAAAGTTTGAACCTAAATCTACCAATTAGATCTCACATTTTTGTAAAAAAAATAATGGTTTGTAATTAGGTTTAGTGACGGAGCATGAGTGCAACTGGTCTTTCACCTCATGTGGTCTTCAGAATTTTTAAACTTTATATATATAATATTGGTCTAATATAAAAGATCTTAAATGTTATAAAATGTGGTATATTTTTTAAAAAGTTGGAGTAAAAATACAAAAGATATAACTATTTAAAGAAAAGGGGGATTCTTTTTAAATCTTAGGTTCCCACCTTCTTTTCTCTACTGCGCTATGATTGTATGCCTTCCTAGGCAAGCTTTCCATGAATATATGTCTTCCCACGCAACTAGGCAAGCTTTCTGTGTTTTGAGGCAAAGTCGTCATTCATTTGTCGTTTTTGTTGACCGTAGTTCAATACAAAAGTATATTGATAAATAATTTTAACCTGACAGCAATTTCGTAAATAATTGCTTTTGGCATTAATTTAGAAAAACTCCTATTATTACTCTTATTATTACTATTATTTTATTTGATAGAGTACATACATGGACTTTGACCTCCGATTTGCCGATTATTGGATTGGGCAACTTACTCACGTACACCTAGCAGACAATATTTATATTGAAAAATGTTTGATGTATCCTTTTTGATGTAGACCTTTTATATATACTCATCTGTCTCACGCACACATAGTTGTCTGTTTACAGACAACTCAGTAGGACCATCTGTCGAGTTGTCTGTAAACAGGCAACTCTGTGTGTTTGAGACAGATGAATGTACGAAAGGTGCACACATAAACCTAGCACAACTCATTTATATTATTCTACAATTTACACATCCATTTGCATGTACAAGATTAACATTTTATATAGTTGGATCTATGGAGTCCATATTAGTGACCCGACTGACTATTTTCTCTATATATATTCTTTACCGGTGAGCGTAGCTCAACTGGTAGCGAGGGAGTGCCACAAGGATTAGATCTCGGGTTTGAATCCCGGCAACTGTGATAAGGGGTACTATGCTGAAAAATGCATAAGGCCTTTGCAAGTATCGGGGACGGAGTCTCACTCTTTATCTATCAGGTTGTGATTATAGTCCAACTTACATCCTCCCATCGTGCTGTCCGGTCGGTGTTGGGCTCAGGGATGGGGTATCATCCTCCATATATATTCTTTAGGGAAAACTGTCAAATAAGCCCCCCTACTACCCTAAAAAAGTCAATTGAACCCCCCAACTAAAAAAACACTCAATTAAACCCACAAACTCCAAAAAAAAATCAAATTAGCCTTTTAACCTGTAAGCTTCCGGTTACCCGGTGAACTCTAATATGTGGCTTTTAAATTTAATTTTTCTTTTTCTTTTTCTGTTTCCCACCCACTTTTCTTTTTTCTCTGTTTTTCTTTGTCTGTCTTTCCCCAGTGAAGAAGACAAGATGAGTAGATGACTAGCGACTATGAAGATGGCAGCAGCCAGTTGGTGACCAAATTCGTGCCCCTGCCGTCCAACGCACATCGGAACCACCTCATCTCCGGCGGTGGTTTCTTTCTTTCTTTCTTTATTTCTTTTTCTTTCCCCATTGATGAAGACCACCAACGAGCAGCAGGTGTTAAGATCCACCGGCGGGACAGATCTGTGCCAGCGACCGTCCAACGAGCAACCCTGAGCGACCACCCCTTTCCGGCGATAGCGAAAGTCAAACGCAAGCTCGTCTCCAACGCTATTCGCCGTCTCCGCCGTTCACCGTCTCCATGATAGAACCAGAACTTGTCTGCAACGCCTGTGGGCTATAGAGGCAAGAAGTGGAGCTGCGCAGGTTGCTGGCCAGATACGTGAGAGAGAACAAAAAGAAAAGAGGATTTTTTTTAAGGCCACCTCACATGACACATGAGCAGTTTACCGGGAACTGGGAAGCCACCTGCTAAAGGGCCAATTTGACATTTTTTTTTGAGTTTATGGGTTTGATTGGGTGTTTTTTAAGTTGGGGGGTTTGATTGACTTTTTTGGAGTAGTAGGGGGGCCTATTTGACTGTTTTCCCTATTCTTTATGAGGTACTCCGTACATTGTAACCCTAATTTTCATACTCATTCATTACAACACATCAACCTCCTTCATTTCTGGTCTCAAATCTCAATCTCCAAGCATCATCTCCTACGGCATCAAATGATGCTTTCATGGACAGATTTGAACACAATCATGTTGATTCCTCCTGAAAAATATAGAAATTCATCTTAATCATGAATAAAATAACCCAAAAACGGCCTGACAATTAAACAAGTTGCGTCGCCCCACTTCTGGTCCCGCACCGGTACCCCTGCCGCCGGTTAGCCGCCATCACCACGAATCTCTCCAGCCACCGTGATCCGCCGACTGTTGTTTCCAGGCCGGGATCTCCACCTTCTGGATCTGGAAAAGGCAAGTCGCAGCAGCTCGCCCTAGCCTCCACCAAGTCGGGATCTTCACCTCCACCGGACCTCGGTGTACAGCGACGGCACCCGCAACTCGCTCGAGCCTCCACCAAGTCGCAGCACCGCCGCTCGTTTCTTCCAACTCAGTTCCGACGCCGCTGCAGGCCGCTCCTTTCCGTTTGGCGACGGCCCTGGACGATTGTCGTTCCTTCTTCCCCAGCGACGACCATGGAGACCCGTCAGGCACGAGCTTCGAGAACATCCCCTCTCTGTCCGGCGGTAGCCAGATCCGGGTTCTCTCTTCTCCGGATGAAGCTAATAAGGCTGGGAGTCTGGGACCTTCTCCCCTTCCCTTTGGTCGACACTCTCAGGCAGCCATAAGGATGGGTGGGCTGAGGCTGCTTCAACTAAAGCAAAGACTGATTCTCACCATGGGCCGCAAATGCAGCAACACACCCAAGACTTCAGCTCACTCCAAAAAGCTAAGTACTCCGACCTGTTCTATTTACACATTTAAATAGCAACAATAATATTACCTCTGCCCCAAATTAATTTGCAAATTTGACTTTTTTTGGTTAAATAGTTTATGACATTTTATTCACTTAATTACGATGTCAATTTTTTATGATATTTTAATTTAGAGTCTGCAACTCAATTTTTATTCAAAATATGTAAATTTTAATTACTAAAAATTAAATTAATAATCAATATGAAGGATTTAATTTTGACTAAAAAATGTTGACTTTTCAAATCAATTTGGGACATAAAGAATATTATTGTTATGATAATTATTACTGTTATTATTCAAGGGTGGATCCAGGGGCTGGAGGGGGCCTCGTTCCCTGCAAGAAAAAAATTCTTTCAGTATATATTATGTATAAATATGTTTAATCTATAGAAAATATGTTGATATTTATAATTTTGGTCCCTGCAATTAATCTATGATAATATTATTATTATCATCGTTATTATTATCACCACCATTATTGGCTGGTCAAAGTCCCCCGACGTGGAGTGAGCCAAGCTCCAGACCCCCTCGACCCATCTCCCGATCATTTTTATTAAATGATCTGAGTTGGCTTTTGGTCCCTGGATCTAGCCTCCGATATCTCTATCTGATAAGTGGGGCGCATTCAAAAAGTTGTCACCTCGATAATGCACTCACCAGCTTCGGGTCCCTCAACACATCTCCCGATCATTTTTATTTAACGATTCAAACTTGCTTTAGGTCCCTCGATCTTGTTTGCGGTGATTTTTATCTTATAACTGGGGCGAGTCAAAGAAGCCATCACCTTAATGATGCACCTTAACAGCCTCGGGTCCTTCAATCCATCTCCCGATTATTTTTATTAGCATGAAAATTTTAAATGAAGTAATAGTGCGAAAAGAAAAAACACAATTCGAAAGGAAATTTGAATTGGAAGAATAAAACTAATTGTTCCACCAGCGGTTTGGTTCACATGTATTCTTACTTTTTTATATAGTCGACCAAACTATACTCGACCATATATTAATTGAGATATAAATGTTGATGATATATATCATGTTGTTTCCTCCATTCTCTTTTAGTTGCAACCATTACAATTTCAAACGTACAAAACTCATTCCAGTAGTTCAGAAACTTATTTGATTATATTGTTTGAAAAGACAGTACAACAATATTGCCTTTGAATTGCTCCGTACAACTTATAAGTAATAACACATTATTACTATACGTACATGGTACACACTCTAAGTTTTACTACAAACAAGTCGAACAATGTACCGATCAACCAAAACTTTGTCGACCACAAGGTTTGAAAAAAGTTTACCATAGTGAAAATCATACATGCATTTTACTTATACATGTACAATGCTTTCTACATAGTTCAATAGCTTAAGTATACAATGACCTGGTGCAATTTGCAAATTTAATAAATAATTCTTAAAATTCAATTCGTGTAGATAGATAGAAAAGGCTTCTTTACACTCAGAGATCTCCAAGTCATAAATGTAGTACTTTGATGGTTCATCATCCGCTGTTTGAGTTTGATGACAATCTTCCCGTTGAATTCCTGACCTGCGAGTTTACCATTAACTACTTCATTTGGAAGGATTATGTTCTTTTCACATCAATTAGTCTGCCCCAAAATCCAAACACTCTGGTCATGAAGGAGTTCTATCTTTCTTTTCGTTTCTAAAATTACTTCATAAAAACATGGGTGATCGAATCAACCTGTAGATCTTTCTCTATCAAGAGAGGCTTGCGGAACAAGATGTTGGTGAAAAGTTTCATCATTCAAATCAAAGAATGTCACTGTTTGAATCACTTTATCCACTTTCTTGTAATATAGTTTTCCTCCGATGCATATACAATCAGCATCTCCAACTTCCATAGTAGCATTGGAATTCAACGAGTGAAAAGTTGGAGATGCTGATTGTATATGCACCGGAGGAAAATATTTTACAAGAAAGGGGATAAAGAATTTCAAACAATGACATTCTTTGATTTGAATGATGAAATTTTTCACCAACATTCTATTATGCAAGCCTCTCTTCATAGAGAAGGACCTACATGTTAGTTCGACCACCCATGGTTTTATCAAGAAATTTTAGACATGACAGAAAAGTTGAAACTCCTTCGTGGACAGAAAGTTTGGATTTTGGAGCAAACTGGTTGTTGTGAAAAAGACATAATTCTTTCGGATGAAATTGTTAATGGTAAATTCGCAAATCAGGAATTCAATGAGAATATTATTATCAATCTTCCTAAGCGGTGGATGATGAGCTATCAAAGTACTACATTTATCACTTGGAGACTTCTGAGTGTAAAGAAGCTTCTTCTATTCTCTATACGAATTGAATTTTAAGAATAATTTATTACATTTGCAACTTTCATTAGATTATTGTGTACGTAATCTATTTAACTATACAGAAAACATTGTACATGCATAAGTAAGTGCATGTACATGCATAAGTAAGTGCATGTGTGGTTTTCACTTCGGTAATCTTTTTTCAAGCCTTGTGGTCGACATAGTATTGGTCGATATGTAAATTGTTCGACCTGTTTGTAGTAGACCTTAAAGTGTGTACCATGTAAATAATAATATTAATTCGTTATTACTTGTAAGTTGTACATAACAATTCAAAAGCAATTGGAATGATTACAACTAAAAGAGAATGGAGGAAATGGTCGACGTTTATATCTCAATTAACATATGATCGCGTATAACTTGGTTGAGTATACAAAAAATATACGAAGTATACATGTGAAGCAGGACGCTATTGAAGACATTAGTTTTATTCTTTCAATTTAAATTTCTTTTCAAATTGCGTTTTTTCTTTTCCTATTATAACTTCTTCGTGAATATATGGAGTATATTCGAAATGCAAACATAACGTCGAAAGATACAAAGTATTAATGATAGATCATTGTCGCCGACCAGCTCGACCTGACATAATTGGAAAAGTCTGAAATGTTGATATAGAAGGTCAGAAACGACTAATGCCGATCACTTTGATCAGTTGCACCTATTGATGGTCGAACAAAGCCCAAAGGTCGTGTATGTTCAAAAATTGGCAAGCTTGAAATTGGAATATATAGAATATATATTTATGGTCGCAACTAAAAAAATGGAGGTCAACCATAGACCATTGTTCGACCCGGTCGTGTTTGTTGACCTATTTAAATAGGTCAACCATAGACCATTGTAATGCCCTTATATGGACATGCTGGTTAATATTGTAATAACGTTATTAATAAGGGTTCTCAAAACAATACTGAAAATAATTAATCTCGATCGACCATAGTTTATCTTCTGAAACAGACAGAAATGAAAAGTTTATTATTTCAAGTACATACTATAAAAATAAACTCAGCTATTCAATCCATGAACTCAGGTTAAACCAATTCTTGACAGGATTGTTTAAAAATCTTCATCTCAAATTGGTTATCTCCTTTGAATGTGAGATGAACCCTGTGAGGGTCTCTCAGGCTATACAACGCCATCATAGGTTTGAATCCAACGAAGAAAGTCGCATGAGAAGATCTCAGAATGTCAACATGAAATTCTCTTCTGGTTGGGTCCTTCAAGTGATAGAAGATGTAGTCATTATTTAGAACAGTCCAATGTTTGTTGTAGAACCGAGCATTCACAACTATATAGTCATGCACATTAAATAGAATAGAAAAACATCATAACTAAGTACTACTCCGTAATATGATAAGTAGTAATAAAAAGTAAGGTTTCAATTGCCAAAACATAATATAGTTCCCTTTGACAATGCCAAATGGGCAACAAACGAGTTACCGTCAGCATGAGGTCTGTAGGGATATATTATCTGCAAATATCAATTAAAAATATATACTAAAGCTAGAAATAAACGTACAATTAATCATTAATGCATATATACAGATTAATATCGGTAGTACCTACTACTTAGTTAGTAGTTGCACCTACAGATTAAGACGTAAATCATAATACAAATAAGAAATTAAAAATAAAATAAAACAAAAAAGAAAACAAGAGGGCGTCAATAAGAAAGATGAGAAGGGCGCTCCGAGGAGGAGTCTTTGCCGGAAAAGAGGTATAGTCGACGAACGAAATGTCAACTGTAGTAGTGCATACTCGAATTTTGTGTCTTTCGAAGTACGGATATAAGAAATGGTTTCAAACTTAAGAGTACTCCGTATTTAAATGTGCTGAGGTCGAGTTAATTATTTAAATAATACTACAACATGCCTAAAAATCACAACACGACTATACTTTTTAAATTCCCTACAAGGAATTGACCTGCAGGGAATTTAAAAAGTGTAGTCCTACTTGTGATTTTTAGGCATATTTTAGTCATATTTAGATAATTAACTCAATCCTAGCAAATTTAAATACCTCGCCAGTCTGAAACCATCTCTTCCATCTGTACTACGAAAGACACAAAACTCGAGTATGCATTACTACAGTTGACTTGACGTTTCGTTTGTCGACTGTACCTCTTCTCCAGCGACAACTATTCTCCTTGGCGCGCCTTTCTCGTCTTTTGTATTGACGACCTCTTATTTTCTTCGTTGTTTTATTCTTAATTTATTGTTTGTATTATTATTTCCGTCTTAATCTGTAGGTACTACTAGGTAGTACCTACAGATACTAATACTGATATTAGTAGTGAGTACTACTGATACTAATTCGTATATATATTGATTAATGATTAATTGTACTTTCATTCCCAGCTTTAATATCTTTTTGTTAATTGATATTTGTAGATAATGGATCCCCACAAACCCCATGCTGACTTTAAGGAAGATATTACAACGATAACTCATTTGTTGCCCCTTTCACATTGTCAAATGTAAGTATATCCGGCAAACTGAAGGCTTTTATTATTACTACGCATTCTGCTATGGAGACTAGTAATTAGTTAATGATGTTTTTCTGTTCTATTTAATGTGCAAGACTATATAGTTGTGAATGCTCGGTTCTACAACAGACATTGAACT